AATTATATAATTTTATGGTTTTAAATATATAATTTACGTAAAATTTAAGTCAGAATTGGGATCCCGTCAACTAGAAATAGTAAAATCTTAAAATTTTAGTAAAATTATAAAATCAAATAAAATTAAAATTTTATAAATTTAAAAAATTTTATGAATTATTGTACTATTGTTTATATCATAAATTACAAAATTTTAAATTAATGCTACGTGTAAAATATTTTTTTTATTTGTTGGAAGAGATTGAATCATGTCATATTTGGATTCTGGACCCCATAACAGATCATCACTTGTGTTGGCAAAATAAAAGAGATAAAGATAATTTTTTATAGAGTAATTATCTTCTTGAGACAGAAAGGGATAATGGGAGCTGGAAAATAGGAGAAGATTACAGTTAATAATGGGGTTCTATCTGATAAGAGTACATGTGGCAAAATCTACAATGATATTAGACCAGGTCAAAAGGTGAGGTGTCCCACTACTTCAAGAAACCACCCATGATTGAGTAACTACAGAAAGTGAAAGTTACTACTGGCACAAGGAGAACAAAAAGGAAATTTTGGAAGGAGGAAGGGACGGCCAGCCCTACTCAAACATCTATAAATTTTCAGACTTTATTTTCTCTGCAATCTGCTTTCAGATTTCGAATTTCAGCACAGATTCCATTAGAATTAGGTTGTTTTTCATCATTCCAGTAGGTAAATTAATTCATGTATTCAGTTCAACAATTTCCTTTCATGCAATGAACTTCAATCTTTCAAGTTTATGCAAGGTATTGTTCTCTTTTCATTTACAATTAATTTAATGTTTATGATAAGTAGTATTTTATTCAATGATTGCTTATGTGGTGTTCATACTTCTTTTCAACCTCAAGCATGGTAGCTTAATTACTGTTCACGTTAATTTTAATGTTAATTAGGATGAAATCTTTAATTCTGCAGCATTTTAATTTTCAGATTTGTCAATATATATCATTTTAATTTTACCATAAACATGTTTAATTTAATTTGAGCACATTTCTTTTTCGTAAGTTTATTTTAAATTGTAGGTAATTTAAAATAATTAGGATTTATTAATTTTAAGTTACGGTAGTGTTTAAGTCATTGGAGTTGTTCAAAGCAGATTTCGTAACCAATTCTGCAGGAAAGTATCCCTCCCTCTTGCAAATCATCTAAAAGCACAAATTTCATTTTAATCCAACATTCTTCCCACTATCAGCAAAGAGGTCGACCATAAAGAAGGAGAGGATCATTGCAAAAATCTGATTTTCTTACTTTCAGCAAAAATCTGATTTTCTTACTTTCAGCAAAATAAGTGACACGCCTACATCTAAATTTCACACGTGCTAGAGGATTTTTGAAGGAAACAACTATGATGTGATTAAGAATCACCAACCGGGTGGAGCTGCACTTGTTCTCTATTTACGGGTTGTTTGGTTGTGGTTTGACTCTTGGCTATATAATTTGATATTTTTGAATTTTTGAGCAAAAATTTTAAAGTTTTATCAAATTTGTATAAGTTAAATTAATAATATTTTATTATAAAATTTTTTTGAAGTCAAAATTATTAAAATTTAAAATAATTTATTATAAAAGTTTTTTTGAAGTCAAAATTATTAAAATTTAAAATAATTTAATACCTATGAAATAGAAAGGTGTTAAAAAAATTTTAAAATAATTAATTAGTAATTATACTTGTTAGATAAAATTTAAATTTAAACATTTAATGTCAAATTTTAATAATATATAAATTTTAAATTAATTTAATAAACATTTAATTTTACCAATTCAATTTTATAATTTTAATTTTATCTCACCACAACGATTTTACTTAATCTTTCAATTTTGGCCATAGCATCATCCAAAAATTAAGCAGAGTAAGTACACGGGTGGCACATAAAATTAAATTCATTTAATTTAATTTAATAATCTGTAAACTAGTATGATACGGAATAATTAAGGCGGAGTTATAATTCTAGTTATAAGTTTTTTAATTTTTTAATATTAAAAAATTATCTGTTCAAAAAAATATTAAAAAATTATATACAATATATTTAATATTTACTTTAATTAATATTTTATATATTTTTAAAATAAAAAAATTTAAAATTTAAAATTTAAAGTATCCAAAAGTGTTTACAAACAAAGTTTAAGTTTAATTATTAGTAATAGGCAAGCATTGACTGAAATAAAGTTGTTTGAGTGTTAATTTTAAGAGTATTTGTATTGTCTTCTTAAAAAAAAATAAAAAGAGAGTACTTGTATTGAAAAACAGAAAATCAACATGTTTTAACATTTTTTTTTCAATCATATCCATAAAATAGGTGCAACTGCAACATAGTGTGAATGCCAATTAATTTTAGTTTTATTTAGTATGAATGTGGTGGTTGGTTTTTAATTTAAATTTTTAAAATTTAAATAATCAAAATTAAAAATTAAAAATAACAACTTATTAAATATAAAATTTCAAAATTAGTATCTAAAATTTTAAATTTAATTATATAAATGTTCTTAATTAACCAACCGGGCCTGAGGCCCAATGGTTGGTCCCAAGCCTTAAGGCTTGGGTGAGGCGGAGGTCAGGGTTTCGAGCCCTGTCACCGCCGTGAACTCTACCATTTTGCAATCTAATGGTTGCGCACCTTAAATGAGGGGTGAAACGTTTACTATCCTGGAATCTACCTGGTCAAAAAAAAAAATGTTCTTAATTTTATTTAAAAATTTTTAAAATCAAATTTAAAAAATAAAAATTACAACTAGGGAAATACTTTTTATACAACATTTTTATCTCATTTTTTTTACAATTTAACATATTATTAAAATAATTAATTTTTTTAATTAATGTAAAATGTGTGATATTGAATGCATTCACTTATTTAATGACACATAAAAATTATATAAAAAAATAAAACAAAAAATTTATCCATATAGGATCCCCTTATAACTATATTAAACCAAACTTTCATCTTGATTGTAATTGGATACTTTGGCATAATATCATGACGTGTTAGACTTTTGCGCTTTCTCAAATGCATTTGTATGATTGTATTGTATCCACAGAATTTTCTCCAGTTGGGCTTTTTGATGCATCACAAGCGAGTAGCGGACAATCTGTTGGTTTCCTGATCGGCCCACAGATTTAGAAAAAGCCTGCTATAAGCCTGGCTATAAGGGTTTGCTTTTTTTGGGAAAAGCTTTAAGTG